TGATACCACGGGGATAAAAAAACTGTCAGGAAGGCTTCACGGAATATGGGAGGTTACGTATGATGAGCAAGCGAAGTGTTCCGTAAGCCAATTTGGCTCAGAATCTTAACCACAGTCTCTCGAAGTATTGCATTGATTCCGCCTAAAACCAAATCAAATACTTTTAAAGACAGATCATACTACAAACAAACGTAGCGTCTCTAAACGATGACGTCTTTCTAGTCAAGTACTTTTAAAAACAGATCAAGTACTTTTAAAAACAGATCATACTACAAACAAACGTAGCGTCTCTAAACCATGACGTCTTTCTAGCTATCAAATAGGGCTCTGGCCTACTGACCTTAAGGCAATATTAAATTAATTTAGGCAGTATAAGGTTTTAGCAACCTTTTGTGAAAGCTGCTTTCGAGAAAGTTCGATCATTCAGCTCTTGTGATGTCTCTCAAAGACCGTTCTTTTCCAGTAAGCCCAGGCACAGCTCTGAGTGTTTTCTGTTTGCTTCTTTATTCCGCTGGATTCATTCGAATTGAGATCAAGTTCAAGGATTATGAACGAAGGTTGAAGACTTTGGAGGAATTCATGCCTGAAAATCAAAAGATGCAATGAAGGACGGATTTTGTTCCGACTGAACAAGGTAATATTCAACTGTCCAAACAGGGTTGTCTGTTTTGTTGCTAGTCATTCTCCTTTAAAATTATTAAGGTCGCGAATTACTTTGAAATATTAAACGATTAAGCTTTTCATCAAAATTATCCGAGAGCTAATGGTCATGTCCTCTGACTTCCGTTCCACCAAAATGAAATAATTTGAGCCAGATTTATCTTAGAAAGATTTTTTTTTCGTCTTGTCACGAGCGTGAGACAAAGATCAAATTCTGAGTCGCCATGAAGAGTAGAACCTCAGACTTTCGGATTCTACGCTCCGATGCACTACCACTGAGCCACGTACAGAGACTCTATGGTGAGCAGGGGTCATTACGAATTTCATATTTGACTCGCTCCCTGCATACTGCTAGGATAGGCAATGTCGACCGGTAGATTTACCTTCCTTCCACTGAAATATCGACACTTCCATATATCTCACAATGTAGAACAATTATGTAAAGGATGTGCTTTACATAATATCTTGTCCCTCATTTTCATTCCGAAATAAGTTGGAGACCTGCCAAGGATTAAAAAGCAGAGGCTCTCAAGATTAGCAGTACACTATTATTAAATGGCAGTATTGGAAGAACAGATTTGATGCGTTGCCCATTGCTCTGTCAACGAGAAATCGAAGCTCTCTTCAAGTCTCTTTGCGAACATAAAGCTTTAAAACGTTAACTTACCTTCTTGTTAGGCGTAATGCTTGAAATAATTTGGCCATCTCAACTGAAATTATTTAAAACATATTTTACTCTCAAGAAGCAACAAGTGTTTTAAGATGCGCAATAATAGGAACTATCGAAAAATAAATGTTTTCCAAAACTTCCTGTCATAAGAAAATTGGCACCAAGATATGAAGCCCGACCTATCTGAAATATCGATCTTACTTCATGAAAAATGAATGATTTTCATTCAAGAGGTTATGCAATATTTGGCCACCTAAATGAAATGATTTAAAAACATATTTTTACCATCAAGAACCCGTGTAGCACCTTTAATTCAACATAGAGCGACTAGACGACAAAATAAACTACAGCAGGCTCCACGTGTCTTCACTTCAGTGCACCCAACTACCATCTAGTCAATTCCGACTGCTCTTACTTAATTTGAATATTTAGCCCGACTTCTCTAAAATAGAGAGCTTAATGGGGTTCACCGTTAGCCACAAAAAGGCAAAAACATCAGCGGTTAATCTTAAAGAATGACGTTTTTTTAACCGTTAGTCGTAAAAAGGGCAAAAATTTGGTTAATGTGGTTGCGAGGTTATCTACACCGGTAAAAAAAACAAAAATATTTTGCTCAGGTCCTGCAGGGTCATATTCTGCGAAACAAATTAAAAATGACGTCCTTTCGCCTGTGGAATGAGCTAACAGACAGCTGACTATTTTTAGGACTTTAATTTTCTTTGCTCAGTTTGTGAGTTATGGCTGTCCTGTAAGGCATAATTAGTTCAAAACGAGATTGGGAAGGGAAGACAATTGAATGCTATATGACAAGAATTGAAATCGTTTATGCTTCATTTGACTGTTGGCGACCTGCGATAGCGCTTCGCACCTCGAAAAAAGATCAACCCGAGTCAGTCAAAGAGACTAAGGGTATTGTCAACCAGGTATGTGTAGAAGTTTATCCATATCTTTATTTAAACTTTGCAATTTAAGAGAAGGCGGATAAATAAACCATGTCAGGATTGAAAATTAAAGGGGAAAACAGCATACGCCTCCATAGCGGCAGGTTATCATTCTTCCTATCCAACAGAGTGTGGCTTACCTGTGACCAGAGTTCTAATCGAACGTTGCTTATTTGTGAAAGTTTCCTAATTACGTAGTTTTTCACCCATTTCGGAATATGACATAATTTTAAACAGTTAAACAAATGGATGTTTTTCCAGATATCAAGAGGGATGTGAACTGAAAACTACCCAGCGCTTTTGCTTTCCTCGTATATCTGTTTCATTTCATTTAAAAAAAAGGAATTACAAGAGGAGAGAGGAGGGTTTGAAGAGACAGCGATTTGTTTTTTTCAATCACCCATGGAGGAAGTTTCTCCTCAAAAGAATTGAATTGGAGTGGATGATTTTTTTATTCTCTCTTCATTAATTTTGTATGGAATGTCAAAACTGCAGGTCTTCCTTAGCTATCTTGCTTTGTGGGATATTTTCTTTGCTAAGCATATTTGAGCTTGCTTATTTAAAATATTTTTCTTAGTCATTGATTTTTTTGGACTTCGTCAACTTTTTCATCTCTCTTCTGACTTGTCCAACAATCCGTTCTTTTCATCAAACATTTTCTAGTAAGAGTGACGAACTTCTTGTTTGCGGGTACTTAGATCTGATATGCTTCAAATGGTTAATCGACAGGCTTCATTTTTTACCGCGCTGTTTTTTATTTCTCAAATGTTCCGTGACATTCCCAGTCAGCACTGTGGAGCCGGCGGTAATCTATACTCGATTTATCAAATGATACTTAAGGGCCACACCTATAAGACGTTCAAGTTTACACCAGGTGCGCTGGAATGTAGAGAGGCTTGTCTCGCTGATGTCAGATGTCAAAGCTATAATGTCGTCATGTTCATTGCAATATGTGAGTTAAACAACCGGACTAAAGAGGCCAGACCAGAGGACTTTATCAAAGACAAGGACAGATATTACATGAAGAAAGAGGTAATACTGGATGTCGATCTTGCAAAGATTCAGATAAAATAGTAGTAACAACTAAGATTGAAGGAGGGACACTCGATCTAGTGGTTCAATCTTCTAATGTGAATGTAACTCTCAGCATTCTGATCCGTATTTCTAGAGATAAGTTGATAGACTGCTAATTATGCGGGAAGTCCCATACAAGACCCATACATATGGGTCATCTTATTCTCATGGATTTTACTCTGCGGTATAGTTAGACACGTTTCGTACTTTTATCCTGCTAAATTTCAATTACAGTTCCTGTCGGATCAACTCGTGAGCTACCTGTTACGTCGTGTGAGGAAGTCAAAGCGAGTGAAGGAGAACAAATAGTCAGCGGTAACTATTGGCTGGATTCTACCGGATCTGGGAAATCTATTCTGGCTCGTTGTGACATGAAGACAGGAGGTTAGTACGAGAAATATTTCTTAGCATGTTGTTGTCGTGCCAATGAGAGGCCATCTCTTAATTAATATTCTTTCATCTAGTTGCAGATTATTGTGTCAAGCACCAGTGCCAAAACGATATCAAAGTGTGTGAACCGGGAAACGAACCACTCGTGTGCGTGTAACTCATCTGGTTGGACAGGAAAATGTTGTGTAAAAGGTTTTGGTTAGGGTTAGGGTTTGTCAAAATCTTTTCTTTTTAACAGCTCTTGTTAAACAAATGAAATGGAGGAAATATGTTAAATTAACCTTTGTTTATCCAAAGATATCAACGAATGCTTGGAGGATCCGCATATTTCACATTATTTGCTAATATTGTGAAAAAGATTCGTCGTTGTTTAAAGGTCTTCCGCTAAAGCTCATGTTGAACGAAAAAGATGAGGGAACGATATCAATTAACATCTGCTTGTTCATAGATGTCAACGAATGTATAGAAGGTCTACATGGTTGTCACGTAAACGCCAATTGTAACAACACTAAGGGATCCTGTACATGCAAACCCGGATTTACTAGAGACGGAAGAAATAACTGCAAAGGTAAAGTTGTTGATAGTTTTCTTTAAAGACCTTATTGAAGGGGAAGCTTAAACTTTCTACAAACATGCGCATTGTGAATATCACATAAGTCTTATCACCTAAATGAACATTATCATTAACGTCATCATCGCCACATTCTTATACATAGACGTCAACGAGTGCAAGGAGGGTCTGCACAGATGTCATGCCAATGCCATTTGTAACAACACTGAGGGCTCCCACAACTCTACATGCAAGCCAAGATTTATTGGAGACGGAAGAAATAACTGCAAAGGTAAAGTTGTTGTTAGTTTTCTGTGAAGACCTTATTGAAGGGGAAGCTTAAACATTCTCCGTTTTATTTTAATTTTACTAAATATATTCAGAGAGGTCGTGATAGAAATAGGGTCATTTTTATTTTTGCGCTAAGCGTTCGCAGAGGTCGGACTTATGAGTTTTTCTGCTGTTGTGGATTCGATTTTTTTTCGTTTAAAACACAATTTCATCTCGTCGAAACAAGGATCAAGTTAAGGATTATTTGACAGTCAAATAGTGTTGGTGTGATTTGTGGTGTCACAGTTTGCTAGGCAAGATCAAAACATTTCGACGTCCTTGGTTAGGTTTTAGTTCATTTTAAGACAATTATCGAAATTGAGATTAGGTCACGCTCAAAACGTTATTAGTTTTATACTTTTATTTACATTTTTTGTAGTGCAGAGAAACATTCGCGCGGTTTCTGGAACGCATTTCTCATGTCAAATTACTGAAGGCCTTGGTAATGAGATATTAGAGAGCTTAAGCACCAGACGTTATTGACAACACGAACGGCAGAGAAGCCGCGTAAGACTGGATCGAGGCCTTCGTTCTTGGCGCGAAATAGGAAGGTTAAGCAGTCGACGTTTTTCAGACACGGACTTCTACCCGTGTTAACATGTCTTTGCTAAAAGATGCTAGAGATATGACCTTAATGAGCAAGGGAATAAGTTTCTTTACCCCACTCTCTTGACAGAATGAATAATTCGTC